AGGATTTCAGGGTATGGCCAGACGCCATCTTTGTTATGCAACAGATTATTAGCCTCAAAGTAAAGCTCATTACTGCTAAAGGGAGTAAGCCACTTTGTTGTTTACAAACGCAAGCAGATCTGGAATCAGGAGACTGTCCTTCTATGTCACCGTAAACATTGTGTGAATGTCGGTTCAGAGATCAGTTTTGAGCCGGGGGGGGTTTGTCTGGAGGGTAATCCTCATGTGGAGCGCTCAGGGTTGGTCCTTCTGGTCGCAGCAGCGCTCGGCCTCTGCCTGTTTTTGCCTTGGCGTTTGGTCAAGAGATCAAATTAAGTGTCTGAGAGGAGAGGAAAACAATTTGACGTTGACGTATTTTTTAACTGTTGCAGGAAATGGCACTTTCACTGTTGAGTCAAGGTTTTGATTAACTATGTCTGTTATAAACCCTTCTGACTGTCCAAACACAATCTCATACTTGCTGACAGTCTGTGTTTTGCTCTGTGGTGCACGCTGAGAGAGGAAAGAGCATGGTTTAGCGTACTCTGCTCAGACTAGCTGCAGGTTTAGGGCTTTGAACTGGTAACCTCCTGGTCCAAAGTGTTTCTAACATTGCTGTTTCCCTCTGACTTTAGTTCCCTGCTCAGACCACAGCAGCTGCCGATGAACAGAAGGTGTTCGGTCTGTGGGAGACCGGAGAGGAATTTGACAAGGTAAACAAACTACCACTTTATGAGCAGCTTTATAGTAGTTTCACAACCTCCTTATTATCTCACTCTACATGCAGACTTTTGCAGCTGAGACTCACCACAAACCACAAGTCGAAGCCTTCAGCACTGAACACTGAATTTCCCACGAATATCAGAAACGACAGGCAGCGTGTTTCGGTGTGGGTTGCTTGTAGCAGTCAAAGTAGGACACGGTTCAGTTTTGTAGCCACAACCGAAGTCGAAGTGAGAAAGCTGCATGCCAGGAGTGTTTGTCTCTCTTGTTTCTGTCTTCTTTCTTTAATCTAGAATGAGAGGAAATGACAGTTGATGCTTTGTGGTATTTTAGCTGCAAATATCTGCACTAGACTTCCTTTTCGTTAAATTCCCAGACTTAAAGATGAATTTAGACTGAATGTGCAACTGTGTGGTCTTATTTGTTTCCCTAAAGGTGGAGTACAACATCTTCGGAAATGTTCGTATTTGTTTTCTTGCAGGGAGCTGGATGACATCTGTATGCTAAATATGAAGCTACAGCCAACAGTTACATTAGCTTAGCGTAAAGACTGGAAACCAGGTTAAACAACTAGTCTGGTTCTGTCCAAAGGCAAAAAGTTTGACCTGTCAGCACTTTAAAACTTTGTTTAATCCCTGTAAAACTGTGGTTTTGACTACTTTTTTTGGCTAAACATGGTGATTTCCAGGAGAAACAAACAGTTTGAGGTAAACCAACACAACATAGCAGTTAATTAGTGAGCTTTAGGGGTGTTGTCATTTGTTATCTTTGGACAGAACCAGGATAGCTTAACCTGATTTACCAGATGGTTTGTTAGATTGTTTGGAAAGCAGTCGTGGGAAGCTGTTTGGAATAGGGCAGGCACCATCAAAAAATACTCCTGCAGGTGATTGGATGAACCTTCTGTATATCCCAAACCACAAAACAAACCATATAACATCGTCAAACTTAGAGTAGCCAGTTGGTAGAAGAGCAAAAACATCTTTTCCATCAAGAAAAGCCTTCAGTGCCGCTCTTTGCTCTTTTGTTCAGTGAAGAAATAATCTCCAGGTCAGATATACCAGAGACCAGAAGCATCTACAGACATCACACCTAGCGCCCACCCCCGTAGCTGCCTTTACGTCCTTAAAGGATGCTGATGGGTCCGGTACCACTGTAGATTTCAGCCTGGCGAGATGGATTCTCACATGATCTTGTGAGTCCAGCTGGCTCACACGGTTAAAGATGGCTCTCTTCCTAGCTGTTTCCAGTCTTTGTGCTCCACTAAGCTAACTTTATGCCGGATGTCTCTGTCTTCTCATCTAACTCTCTACGAGAAAGCAAATACATGTATTTTCCAGAATGTCAAACCATTGCTTTAAATGAATTCTTTGATGTGTTTTTCCTCCCGCAGCACCGCCGGCTGCTGTATGACCTGTTCACGAAGAACTACCGGGTCAGGAGGAACATGATACAAGCCAAACTGGCTCAGGAGTTGGGAGAAGTCTCCAAGGCGGAGATTGACCGGCTGCTCAATGTGAGATGGGCGACAAGACTGAACATTTGTTTTTTTAAGGAGTTTTTTTCTGTCTGATTTAACCTGTCGTCTGTTCTTCCAGGAGTGCTGCAGCAGCCACGCAGGGATGTGGTACCTCAAGGGAACGATACAGTCCTGACACTAAGATCCCGCCCCCTGCGGTCACTGTCAGCCAATCAAATCCTCTCCCAGGTGTCCCAGTGGGAGGGCAGACAGACAGATGAGAAGCCAATCACAGCTCGCCCAGCTCTGAGGGAGGGCGATTGGAGAACACAGATGTCAGCCGTCTGCTCTGCTCAGAACACGAAGCTTTTCTCGTTTCAGCTGAAGCATTTCTGACATAAACATGAGCTCTCTGATGCAGCGCGGAGGATGGAAACTCCTCACATACTCTCACTAAGAGCTGGAGTGTCTGACGGCGAAAGTATGAATATAAACAAATGAAGAAAAAGCAAGATAAAAATATATATATTATATATACGGTTTATTAGTAGATTTTTTTTGGATTTATCACCTCATGTTTGATTAGTTTTGAATTTAACTTTTACCAGATCAGGATGGTGTTTACTGTTGAAAGCAACTGTGGCTCAAAGTGCTTTCGTTTTACTCCTGATAAACTAAGTTCTGCCAGAGAAAACATGTTTTACTTTATCATATCACCAACAAAGCAAACATTGTTTAAGGGCTTCTAAAGAAGCAATGATTTATATTTCATCCAGATCTGACTTTGTTTAGGAACATCGACTGAATAAGAGCATTTATTCCTCCTTCAGTACCCACATCAACAAGGTGCGCTTTAAGGTTGGATGATAAAGTTTCTAAATTAAAACGTGTGGAAGTACTTGAACAAACGTTGCCAAACTCATGAGTCAGCAAACCTTAAACAAAAAGGGGAAAAAAAAAACATCTAATGATGCAAAAACAAGCAAAAAGTCCTTAATATCACTTCACTTATGTTGTACAACTGAGATGTTTTTGGCAATCATTGATCTGGAGACGCTTACATCCAATGTGGCTTTTCCCCACATTTCTGTATTCACTTGAATGTGTACTGAAATATAAAATTAGGGAAAAGAAAGTGGATTAAATGGTTTGTTTCTGGTTGAATGTACAAAGTTTCAAATGGTTTTCCTTTATGAGAGAGGCTGATTTTGACTGATAAGCCAATAAAGATGCAATTTTGAATAAAGTTTTGTCACATTTTGATCATAAATCTGTTGGGATTTAATCCGTCGTGCAAACAAAAGTGGAATTGGATGTGTGTATGGACCCGATCGTGGTCCGGCACAAGTCCTTGGACCCTCGTCTGGGGTTGTTGCTATGGATACGCTGGTGTATCGTCATGTGCTGCTATGTCGAGCCTCCATCTAAAGTGCCTCTGCCTCACGAAGGCGTTCAGGACAAACTCCCACCCACTCGTATACAGAGTAACAGTAATGCTTTGATTCTCGCTCACATCCATTAAATCCATTTTAAAGAGTGGAAATGTGAATAAAGTGATTTTCATTTCAGGCAAAATCTTTTGTGGTACATCATCTAATAACGACAGCTGTATTCTTTTTCATTTGTTCAATAAACACTCATGTTAAGTTGTCTGGTGTGTTTTGTCATTATTATCACAATCAGTGGTGATGTGTTTAAAGATGGAAACCTCCCTGGATAACTGAGGTGACATTTTTTAAACATAGTGTAATATTCATGATGTGCAGTGGACATTCACTATGTATATTGCCTATGTATTATAATAACATTAGGTAGATTTAATTGTCCTGTTAAGAGACACATCTTGATGATTTATATGAGACTGAAGATTGGTTTAATTTTTTTATTTCTTAAATGTTGATATAAAGGTGGTATTCTCTAATAAAAGCTCTCACTATTCATGAATTCTTTTGGTTGGATGATTATGTCTGTTTTAGGAAGCAGGGGCAGATCTAAAGGGGCCGCCGTCATTCACTAAGATTAATTAAAAAAAATAAAGTTTAATAATTTCTAAAGATTTAAAGATCTGTTATGGCCACATTTTAGACCAAGTGATGGTTTAAGTTCAATGAAAAAATACATGTATTTGGAAATAAAACAATATGTTGATTCTGATGCCATTTGCCTTTAGATATTTCTATTCAATGCAATAATGTGTTTTTGTGTTAAAATATCTGCATTTGTGGGCTTTTCCATGCAAATATTGATATATGCAATTGTTTGCCATTAAATCTGCATTTATTTCTGCCACCCGTTAATGTCTCCCTGCTGCCACATAAATATATCTCCACATCTTTAATACTCAGGACCAAATATAAATACCTTTTTGCACTTTAATGTTTCATATAAGATGATTTCACCATTGCAACCATTAACTCTCGTTTATTTCATTTCATTTATTAGATCTGTGTGATAATCAGTTTATTATCAAATCTAGACCCTTGAAAATCCAAAGGAAAGGAAACTATTTCAGCACAAACCTCTAAAAATCACTTATACTCACACTGACTGAAGACTTCTGCTTAATGTGTAGAAACTGCAGGTTGCACAAACTTACATAACATATTTTAATTCTTTATATGCTATAATTTTGTTAATTTATTTGTGTTACATCTCTAATTTTAACTGTTGGTGATTCTTCTTCGGTCCGTGTTATTTTCAGGCTGTTGAGTTTGTTTGAAATCCAGCAGCGTGTCTGGATGGTTGACATCAAAGCAGTTTTATTACATCAAATGAGAAAAAAGTGATTTATGATGTCCGAGTTTAACTGTGACACAATCTCTATAAATAAAGGGTTTAATCATATTTTATTTTTTTTTACAACAGGCTGACTCAGTTAAAAAGACACAAACCTGCCGACTCAGCTTGCTTCATGTTTTATGGCTCAGAGCAATGACATAAACCATGAGGTCCAATCATGAAACAGGTAAAAACACAGATCGTACATACATACTGCAGATTATTCAGCTCCGGTAGCACATCACGCACGTTGATTAACTACAGAAGACAGTAATGTAAAGTGTCAGATGGGTATTGATAACACTTGTGCAATTCTAAAGTGCATTTCAACGTAATTTTTATAGACATCTACAAACTATGTGCACAGTTTTAAGCTCGACAAGGACAAGTGGACGTCAGGCAGCAAAAAAGCAACAGAACTGCTGCTGAAAAAAGCTTCTAATCATACATGGCTTCACGGGGCGAATATATCAGGAGGCCGTTACATTATCGAGTACATAGAGTTCGTCTTTTGGGCAACGGCGAACTTCCCTTTAATATGACATTCACTCACAGTCATCTAACCTATCGTACATTAAATCAAGTATATTTGAAGAAATGAAGGTTACAATTACAAAAAAATCCTAATATGTTTTAGCACCTTGAATCACCGGCTGTATAATTCCTTCACCAACGTAGCACCAGGTACAACGCTGGTTATTGTTCGCTCTTATAGGCGCAGGCAGAACAATCACCAAGAAAGCTACTTTTTTTTCTTTTCTAGAGTTGTAAATAAAGAAAATAATAAATTAAAAAGTTCACATTAGATCACAGGAGCGCAGTAAACAAAAGAAACAGCAGATAACAGCAGTAACATTTTATTTTATGGATCCAAAATCCTCCTAATAATGTTCAAAGTTTCCAGGAAGGAGCTGTTTAATTTGGGGCTAATTACGGGGAAAATAGAGAGTTTAGTTGAGTTTACAAGCATAACACTGAACACTGCTCGCATCTGTATTTGAATGAGAAGTGAAGTGTGTAGGAGAAATTACGGTGGCTGTGTAAAGGGCCTATCTAGAGCAAGTGTTTGGTTTGTCCCTTCTGGGCTACTGTAGAAACACAGCGGTTCACCCATGGCGGACCCCATGGAGGACGAAAACATACCAATAAATATGAGACTTAATTTCTGCCAATAGATCCTCCTTTATGTTACACACTGGAGTTTTAAAAGCTGCAGTAGGTAACTTTTATAAAAATTCACTTTTTGTCCTATTTCCTGAAACGTTCACTATATCCTGACAGTAGTTGATTGTTGAGGCTCACTCCCAGCATCGGTATTCGACGACCTGGGAATGAAACTCAACAATCAAGTATCTTTCTGGGCTCTGATTGGTTGTTTTTGTTCAGCCAAACTTTCTATGAATTTACATTAACTTGTCAATTTCTTTCTAGGAGATTCTAAGAATATAATTATTGGGACCCGTAAAATAAAGTGTTACTGTTACAGCTTATTTAAAAAAAAAAAAAAAAGACCCAGAAATGATTTCCCCAGGAGCCTGTTTGTGAGCAGGGTTGTGCAAAGTGAGGTAGAGTGATTGTACAGTGGAGCCGGCGGCGTTAGGCACTGGTGTTTCTGTGCAAAGTGAGCCACATCTGAGACATGAGCTGGTGGTGTTTGGCCTTTCCTGTTCCTGCATCACTCGTATCTCTGAACCCTTCTTTGCGTGGCGATCTTCCATTTCTGGGCAAATAACATACAGTAGAGTTAATTAGCTTCAAGTGCTGCTGTAAAAAGTCTTTCCAAAGAGTCGCTTTGAAACTGGAAGACAATAATTAATCTTGCAGCAGGTCTTTTTCTTTTTTTTTTTGAAGCAACTAATGCAAAATCGGCAGCTCTGCTCCAGCTGAGGCTCTCCCTCTGTTTTTAATCAGGTCCTCTTTGGTTTTCTGAATGCGGGTGAAAATTTCCCTAAAAAGTTCCTTGTACTCCGGCTGGTGGAAGTCATCCTCAAAGTCCTCGATGTCTGTCAGAGCAGGACAAGCGGTGGCGAGGGATGCAGTCTGGACTGACTTGTGGCTCTGCTCATCCTGCTCTTCCTCCGGCGGCCCCAGGTGGCAGCGCCGCAGCAGCTCGTCGTACTTCACCTGCAAGGCACTGTACTGGGCGTCGACCTCGTTCAGCAGCGAGATCCCGCGGAACTTCACCACCTCGGCCCGGCGCACGCAGGAGCACTCGTGGTCGTAGATCTTGTCAGGGGAGTCGTGCGTCTGCGCCACCTTCAACAGCCGCTCACTGTCCCAGCGCTTCAGGACCCAGGGGCTTTTCACTGCGTCACTCTCCTCCTCCGGGTTGAGGAACATAGAGTTGGGCAGCAGGCTGTGGATGACGTCTGGCCTGGTGGATCGTGTGGAGGACTCTGATTTCCAGAGCTGACGGAGCTCCTCCGCCTCACGCTCCAGCTCTGATACTCTGGCCTGAAGCAGAGAGAGAGAAAGTGATTTAGAAAAGAGGTGATGGCAGAGAGGACAAATACAAACCGAACTCTGAAAGAGTCGGTAATGCTTTATGACAGCAATGTTAAAATACCCTTGTATTTCATTTTAGCGGACAAAAAGTTAACAGTAAGAACTTTTTATTTATTTGCAGTGAGGAAGGTGCTGTCCGTCTGCCTGAATCCATGTGAATGCAGCATTAAATTAATTAATTCTGAGGCCTCTATATGACCAAAACACGAAGATTGACTATTTCTGTGTAGTTATTCTTAATGCCTGTCAATGGGTCGGATTCCCCTTGAAATCAATGAAACAAAGCGGTAGAAACACTACCGTTTGTGTCCACAGAGGCCGCCAGAATCAACATAAACTGAATGGTGTTTTTCAAAAGTTGTTGTTTGTGTACGAGTGCTGCGCAGACACAGGTGAGAGATATTCGTCTCACGTACCTGACACCCCTCCATCCCAGCCAGCTGCTGCTCCAGCGTTGAATTTTCTCTGGCGAGCAGCTCGGCCTCTCGCTCCGACTCCTCCCGCCGGGCGCGCTCGCTGGCAAACTGAGTCTGAAGGGCGCGGAGGGATTGTCGTAGCGACGCCTGCTCCTCCTCGTGCCACGACATGTCGGAGGACTGAAGGCCGTCTGAGGGTTCATGGGGGTCATAGTCATACCTGCAGAGACACACACAGACAGTTAGAAATATATATATATATTTCATACATAAAATACATTTACATACTTTCTGTGGCCTTAATTGACTTTATCAATAGGATGAATGTTGATAGAATCTAATGCCGATCTATTGAAGGAATAGTATTCACTTTCTTGCTGAGACTTTGATGAGAAGACTGAAATCTCTCATGTCTGTACAGTAAACATGAAGTTACAACCAAGAGATGGTTAGCTTAGCTTAGCATAAAGACTGAAAGCAGGGGGAAACAGCTAGCCTGGCTCTGTCCAAACTGTAACTAAATCTTTCTGCCCACGCCTCTGTGCGGCTGTACATGTTCACTATCTCAGTTAAGTGGTTTAGCATGCTAACGTTTGCTAATTAGCACTAAACACAAGCAAGCCAAGGACAAAACGTCCTAAAGGTAGAAGTTTGAACAACTAAAGGTCTGTGAGAACTGGGAAAACTTCCTTTGCTGATAAAGACCATGTGATATGTTCAGAATCTGTTTCTCTACAACCTTTATCATACAGCAGCTGATAATTTCTGCGTTCTTTCACAAGCAGTTTACAGTTTATCTGCATCATAATAAACCAAAACAAAGTGAAAGGTGACAGGAAATGCACAGCGCAGAGAGATGATGAAGAGATGTACCAAAGGTCACGAGCCAGGTTCAAACTCTGTAGATGCATAATGGAGCATTTAAGTAGATAGAATATATTTAAGTAGATAGAATATATTTATACTAAACTAAATTTTATTGTTTATTACTCACTAATAAGGTAGCATAAAGGGAATTATATCTAAATTTAATTCTACAACCTTTTTGTGAATGACAATAAAATATCCTTGAATCCTTGGATTTAAATTAATTAAATAAAGAATTATAGTTGATTTGATTTTTTTCTTTTCTTCTACCTTATACTTCTACCTTATAAAACAGCCTCTATAACACATTTTATTAGTCTGTAAACATTTACTAAACTAAACTAAAAAGTGCATACAAAGAAGTGATACAGTACATTAAAAATGAATTCATAAAGTGCCCTTTTGACAATATGGACATACTTCACATCATTAGATCGGTTAAATAAAGAGTCTGGTGCAATAGGAATTAAAGGTCAGTTCCATACAGACACCTGAACCAAATAAAGGCAGGTTGAGTTCAGTGATTTAACAAAATAAAAGCCTGGGCTACTAATTACAGCTCCACGCTATACAGAAGTTTTTTCGCTAGAATCAATCAATACACAGCTTGTGGGAGACATGAATTAATTACTTTAGTTGGTGTTCCTGATATATATATATGTATATATATATATATATTAATATAATGTGTGGTCGCCGCTGTGATTACTTTAATTATGAGTTTATGCACGTCATTTTAGGTTAAGTGTTTCTTTAATAAAAAGTTATTAAATGCATTTTTTTGGGATCTTAGTGAATCTTTTTGTCAGCACGTCACAAATCTCAGGCCCGATCTCAGCCTCTCAGCAGCTTTTAGTTTCTGCTGCACAGCTGATAACAGAATAAAAAAAGGAACAGAAGAACAGGTGACGTGTGATAAAAAGAAACTGCAGACAGGCCAAGAAAAGCTCACTAAGCAAGGAATCAAGAACTTATCAGTATAACCGAGTAGATTAGAAATTGGCTGAAGAATCAATCACAGCTTCAGAGAGATATCGAGATTGTTCGTGCCCTCGAGCTCAGACTTTGACCTCTTTCCTTCCAACCTCACACACCAAACTGCACACTGAGCTCAGACCTGTCTTCTCTGCCGGGTTTATCAGTGACATTTCCATCCATCTGACCTGGATGTTTTGATGGACGAGTCCTAACAGGATTGCACACCGAGAGACTAAACAGTGAATGAACCTGGAAGAGGTTCAGAGAGGAAGTGACCACAGGATGAAACATTCAGAGTAAGAGTGCTGTGAGGTAGACATGGCCGACCGCCAGCGAGTAGGATTAGCACACATAGGGGGTGAGCTAAAGCCAGGAGGGCTCAGTGGGAGGATTTGCTGCTTCCCTTCTTGAAGCTTACAAACAGCTTCTGGATCAGTGACAATGCAATTAACATTTTTTTCTTTAAATGTTTCTTCTGACTCCTCCTCCCCGATCAAAATACATTAAAAAGAGCTGAATCATTTCACCAGGACGTATTAAACATTACTGGTTAAGCTGATTAGGCTGTTAACTGTGGGTGTAAGACCATTAATAAGCAGAAAAGCCTTCAAACATTGAAGATAAATTGCTTGTTTTGTCCAACCAACAGTCCAAAAAACCCAAAATATTAAATTTATGATATAAAACAGAGAAAAGCAGCAAATCCTCACATTTGAAGACTAAAACCAGCAAATATTTGGCATTTTTGCTTGATAAATGATAATAGTATTAATTTAAAGTTGTGATAATAACCTTTATAGCGCTAATGATACACTACACAGCATTCGAGCATCCTCACCTGAGTGCGTTTTGCAGCTCTTTCAGACAGGACACGCTCTGAGTGCCGCGAGGAGGCCACTTCTCTCTGTGTGGAGGCTGGCAAGGACTCAGCTTCAGCTCCTCCACCTGATGTTGCAGCTCCTCCACCTGCGTCTGCAGCTGCTCCACCGTTTCTGTCAGCCTGAACAGAGAAAACAGAGCTCCGTTGAGGGACACTTTACTCCAAAAGACGACTCTTTTTTGAAGATCCTGGAACAGATTATCCTCGTCTCTTACCCCTGGATCTTCTGCTGGGCCGTCCTGTTGTCCAGCACCAGTTTGTGGTTGCTCTGCTCCAGCTCTCGGGCCGACACGTCCAGCTGCTCGTACACTTTGGCATGCTGGTCGTTGACCTGCCTGAGGAGATCCACCTGCTTCGTCAGGTACTGGAGGGGAGACAGAGAGATTTCTGTACATCATCTGCTGCGATGTCTAATAATAACATCCAGTCTATTATTATTATCAAGGGTGGAGCTTAGCCCAAACCTGGGGGGGTTCTGGGGGAGTTATGCTTTATGCACTGCCTAAATCTGTATATCATTTGGGAAAAACAGTGGCTTCATCCTGTACAGCCTTCATCCTATATAATTGTTCTCCAACTGTCTTAATCATTCATAAACCAGAACACAACAAATGTTCAGGATGACTAATTTTCACTCCTGGCTGCCACTTGAAAAACAGTCTGATGTTACTATTCTCAAGTTACATAACATTAGGATAGGAACTAATCTTGAAACCTACTTTTGTTAAACTATACTGGAGTAAAGTTGAAGAACGACTGTTTAGCTGTGACATAATACTGTAATAGATGACGATATTTCCCCAGAAATAATACAAACTTTTGCTCCACTGACTGGTCGAGTCAGAGAGAAATTACATAATGGTGAAGTTATTTTAAAAGCCTGAAACATTCAGGGGTTTACAATTCATTATACTGCGATAAACTGCAATACTGTATGCAATGCGATATATTTTGATCTCTAATTTTAGGAAAGTTAAAAAACACATCTACATTTGTATTTATCGCTGTCCCTGTAACATCCAACATTGAAGCCCCACAAAATCTTTGCATGTAAACCATCAATTAAAACTCAATATTGTTTTTGAGAATCAATACAATATCACAAAACATAATATTATAATACTCAAGGGTATTGATATTTCTTACACCCATAATTATCATCACACTACTGTAAAATACAATAAAACTGTATTTATATATTCAAACACAATGTGCTTCACAAAAGATGAAAAATACACATAAAAACTAATAAAAACAATAAATAAATGTGAGTTTTCTTTTAAAAGTCGGTGTATGATGGACTATAACTTAAAAGTTGTCCAGCATCACCACAACAAAGGAAAATCAGATCTTAAACCTCCTTTTTGAGTGACTAAATTAAATGTTTGTACAAGAAAACAGGAAATATGTGGACAATGTACACAAATCAATAAGTAGGTCAAACTACCAGCAGTCGATAGTTTGTAATGATTAAAATGGTGCTCAAACCTCTATTATTATTATTATTATTAATATTAGATGTTTTAGCTAATAAATACATGCTTTTCCTGCAGCAAACAAACAGCCACATTAACAAATAAAAGTGCTAACGTTTCCCAGGAACACCTAAACGTCTCTAAATGTCTCCATCACAACTTCTTCAAGAACAGGTTATCTTATCAGCAGTCAGGACACATTGAACCTTTTCCTCATCTAATCTACCTGCTGAAAAAAACTTCAACAGACTGTTAGTACCACAGTTCAATGTCAAAACTGCACAGGTACACTGGACGTAAACAGCCAAAGTAAAGAGTGACAGTAAAGGGGGTAATTCATTGCAACACAGGTCATGAGCTGGAATCAGACCTGTGACGTCACAAGTATCCAGTAGAGAGTCTTAAGAGATTAATTCTGTGTGTCAGCAGCGACATGCAGGGAAGAGGGTTTTAGTGCCAGGACTGACCTTACTCAATGAAATTAAAAGCTAAAACCGGCAAAAACATAAAAAGCTAAATATTGAATTTCCTGTAACTCAAGTTTAAAATTAAGACCTCGAACTAATCGTGTGTTTAAAGGTCGGCAGGAAATCCTGAACGCACTTTTTCTAAATCTGTACACAGGAAGACAGAGAGAGAGGAAACACAGGGCAAATAATACATTATGATTATCAAATGTTCCATTATAACAACTCAATAATCAACAGATATCAAGTTTCTTGATTGAGAGACTTCATATGTTTATGATAAATATACATTTTTAATTTATTAAAAACAATTAACTTTTTAACTCTATAAATAATGTTTTAGACTTCTAAATGTCTTCTATTGTGTTATCTTTTGTGATCAGTTCCAGTGTCTTTTTTTTTTAGGGAAACTTATCAGTAAATATAAAACAACTCAGAGGAGTTTACAGCCCTGAGTTGTGTCTGCAGGTCGTCCTCACAAGAAGGTACAGCACCTTCTACCTTGTCTGAGAAGCACAATCAGGGATAAAAACTTCTGAAAGTCACTCACAAAGCTGAAGAACTTAAGATGACTCACATTTTTAATGAACTCAGAGCTTCTCCCAACTAGTTTTTAAGCCTTTTTAATGCAAACTTTCCCCAGGTCAACCCTCTCATTCACACTACATCCTGTTCTAACAGTGACTTCTTTCTGGAGTTGACAGTGTCTTTACCTCGATTTCCTGCAGTTGTTCCTGGTTGGTGGAGTACATCTGCTGCAGGCCTTGCTCCAGCTCCCTGTTTCTCTCCAGGAGACTCTTCCCGAGCTCGGCTGCCAGCTGCAGGTCTGCAGGAGAGAGGAGAGAGCGAAGTGCTTCAAAGCTCATAGTTTAAATCTCACTGGTGGACTTGGGGGACTTTACAAGCAGCTTTTGAGGTTATGTTGTTGTTGTTGGCGGGAGTACAGTAACCTACTTTAAAAAAAAAATGTGTGCCACAGGGGTTTAATCCACCTTCATGAACTGAACATTCAAGGTCTGCTGGTTATTTCCTGTTCATTTACTCATCATTTACTCTCCTTTTCATCTGACATCCAAATAAATCCCACATAAATGACACAACTGGGTGAAAATATGAAGCATAAGAGGGGGAATATTACACACAACCCCCATGGGCTTCAGTATAAAAGCATGCAATACAGAGCAATGGGGTGAAAGGAAGTCAAAGAACCACTTCTTCATTTCAGTCAGACCTTTTCTCTTTTTGTTTTTTCACTTTGCCGCATATATGAATGTCCTGCTGACTCCTGCCTTTGTCCTACAGCCTTGTCAAGGTGCTTCATACACAGACTGAATAAATAAAACACACTGACATAAATAATAATAATACACATTATAGGTGCAGAAAATCACATAGAAATTCCTACAAATGTAACCCACTGTGCACCTGCAGGGTTTAATAGAGAGTTTGTACTATAACACACACATTAAATCTCCTCTACATCCCTTTTACTGCAGCTGTAATGACCCATATTTAGTTATTAGACTGTTACATAAAGGATCAATATGCTCCTTTATCTTTAAGGCTTCAGAGACAAAGACTGAAAAGGAAATTGTACCATGTTCAAGGTCTTGCTTGTCGTACCACGGTTCCTCCTCCTTGATCTCAAATTCTTCCTCCACAATCATGTCTGTCAACATCTTCACGGTCGCTCAGACTCTTTTTAAAACATGACACAGACACAGTTTTAATAATAAACGCGTCGGTCCTCCTCCTTTCCCCACCCCGCTATCTGCACGCCTGCAACCGGCACCGGTGTGCGCTCATCTCCGGACAGACTGACACACACAGACAGACAGACAGACAGCTCACTGCTGCGTTCAGGGGACGCTTCCGGTTTTTAATTTTAAAATAAAAGCAAGCCTTGGCTACATGGTGATAAGTCATAGGGAAATATTTCATTCATTTGTGATTAAATGTTGAATGTCACTGTTGTTTGCCTTTATTTTAATTTAAATGTATTTAAAATCACTCACCTCCTTTTGGATCATATTAATTCTACTTATATCCTGTATAATCATGAGAGTTTGAGTTTAACTGGTAGAAAAATAAGCAGCATTTACCATTAAAAGTTAATTTTGGTCCTTTGGTGTTAACTACATTATTTATCATCATTTTATTCATCAAACTATAACATAATCCAAATTAAATCACTAGAGGCAATTTTAAAAAGCATAATGACAAAATGTTAATAATATAAAAGTACATATGTCTCAGTTTCCAAAATATTGTGAAAGAAACATTGTGTATCATATTTGAAAAGAACATTTACAATATTTTATTTAAAAACATAGTGTCAGTAATTCAGTGATGTTTGCTGGTATCTTTCACTAAAGGTGAGCTTTTATGTTGAAGATCCTCTCGCGTAGTTTCCGCTGTAGACCTGTCTCTCAGATACTTTGACCATCATTTCGCCACACCTGCTCCTCTGACTGGTTCCTCCCTTTGGAAACCGCAGCGCACTGAGTCCATGTGACCACAAGGGGTCGCTGCAGCCACCAGGAAGGCAGGAAGGTGTCTTTTTTATATTAAACCTTATAGACATCACAACACTTTAAAAACCAGTAGCTGTATTGTATATAACATTTGTTCTGTTGTGATAAACATAAATACTACCATGTATTCTTCAGTAGGGCTGCACAATAAGGTAAACACATATTGTTATTATTTTGATTAAGGATTAGTGTGTGATACTACCTGTATAGTCCTTACACACACATATATATACATAAATATCTTCTTACATGCACTTTAGTCTTAGACCTGTTCATAGCCCTGTGAAATCATTTCTGTATAATATATTTTTTGTCTTATTTCTACAATATCCCATTACCTCCTTCTGTAACTGGTGCAATTTTGTAATTTAACTTTAAATCACATCTGTATAAAAATAATGTATATTTTATATATAGTTTATACATACAAACCAAATATATATTTTTCTTGACATCTTTTATTTTGTTTATTTAATGTTTATTTCTTTTTTTTATATTATCGGCTATGTTATATCTGGAGCTGCTGTAACAAGTGACTTTCCTATCTTATCTTATCTTATAATTTTTGCATCACAAATTTAATTTTCAAGAAAATAAATCTGATTTTTCAGAGTCACATATGAGCAAAAAACTCTCAACATTTTCTGATTTGTTTCCCAGATGCTTCCAGTTAAAACCTCAAAGACAATCTGCTGTGTGTGTTTAGCTCCTTGCATTGTTCTCCCACATTTCCAGTGATGGGACTTGTATTCAGATTTGTTACCTATAAGTAAAAGCAGCAACACTTTAACGTAAAAATACTCCATTACAGGTGAAAGTCCTGCAGTAGATCTATCTATCTTATCTGCAGTAGAAAGAGTAAAATGTACAGTATTTACCTCTAAAACTTAGTGGAGTGAAAGTTTAAAATACAAATACTTCAAAATTGAAAGTACTTTTACTCAAGTACTGTGTTTTTTACCATCTACCTTTCTAATTTGGTCAATCCAGATTATGAATTTCTCTAAATTAGAAATATCTCTTGAAACATGATGCTACAACAGTAATATACTGTCTATAGCAGCGATGGGAGACAACTGACAGACTCCTTGTATGTTAACCAGTTTTATATAAACAACAAGCCGCCTACATACATATCTGTGTTCTCACAAAAGCTGCTTTTGTATTCAGTCTTCAGGGCTTGTTTACTGGTGGCACTTCAATCTCAGTGGAGCTGTTGACTCAGAGACAGTAGGTCATCACTGTTTGGAGAGAATATGTCAAATCAGAGTGTCTCTTTCCTTCTGTCTCTGACCCAACCTGACTGCTGCAGGACGTCAGTCAGTGAGCAGCAAAGACCCAAAGCTCTTTGCAGACAGGATAAACATGTTATTTTTTTCTAAATTTCAGTTGTTTCCTGTCTCCCTCTGAAAGGACTGGTAGTTGACTCAGACTGAGAGGCTGTAGGACGTCAACAGTTGAGTCATCTTTCAGAGAGGGCAAGTTTCTCCACTGTGAATAGTGGAGGTCTCTGGACCTCAGTGGGCGGCAGCAGAGGAGGCGGCGGCATCCGGAGATCTTTTCTGAAATAACTGAAATCTTTCCCTGGATTCCCTCACGGTGAGACATCCTCATGAGTCAAAGGGTTTGTTAAATATTGTATGATCCAAAACAAAACAGAGATTAAAGCACGTTTAATGATTTTAACTAAAGTGTGTGCTGTTATCTGTTCTAATGTTGTTATAATTCTGGTATTTGTGGTCTGATATTGTGTTCTTTCATGAGCAAACACATACATACATTTTGAGGCCTTTACATTCAAAGCACCATTTCAATGAAAAGGACTTGTAAGCTACACCCCCATCATGTGTTTCCATCAGCTGGGGGCAGTGTAGTCCCATGATTTTGGTCTTAAATTCCCTGTTCAGCCCGACATAAAAGTGTTCAACAACAAAGAAGACATGTTACACAAACACACACTGATTTACAGTCAATTATTAATTTGGACACATTCAGATAATTCAATCTGAAATCAACATGATTTAAAAAAAGAAGGAATTGATCAAAATAGATGAACATACCACAGAGCATTGATCCAGACAAGATGCAGCATTTGATCAGCTGCAGTCAGATTTCAGTTTTTATTATCAGACGCAGGCAGATGAAAACATTCTCCATGGTGGATGTGAGAAACATCCTGCCAGCCGATGATAAAGGATGTGCTGCTCCGGACCCCAGAGGGTGATTATGATGAGTTCAACACCCTCTTCATTGTCTCTTCCTCCTTCTGTTTCTTTCTTTTAGCCTTACATGTACTCAAAAATACACTTCTTTTAGCTGCTGAGCTGGGATGCACTGCATGTATCTGCATGTTTATTTGTGTTATGTGAGGTAGTTAACATAAATTACCAAGTTAAGTTTGTTCTTAACAATGTCAAGATCACAGAAAACACATAAATATTGCTCTTCACGTGCAAGGGTACAAGGACAAACTAATCAGTTCATTTAGCCACTTGTTAGCAACCATGCATAAAAGCTTAAAAAAATCACAGGTGGGGTATTTACTGATGTATTCTTTGTCAGAACGAAACGTGCAGCTGTAAACGAGCATTTGTTAGTCGACAACTCAGTGTCTGCCTGCAGCCTTTTATTTTATGAAGCCCTCACCAATGACTAAAGCCAGTCTGAGATCGTGTCCAGTGGCCTTTTGCTCTCTTTTTCTCTTCTTAGCTTCCGCTGTCAACGTTCGCTTCTGTGTCTTAGCCTCTGCCATGATGTCTGTAGAGGCTGCTAAACCCGATTCCCTCGCCTGGCTCCAGTTGTGGTGCATTTTAGATGGACTGAGTTAACTAACTGCACAGAAGTTCCCTTAAATGTGTGGCACTTGTAGGTTGCTTTGCTTTCACTCTTCTGTCCAGTTCATCCCAAACCAGCTCAATGGGGTTTAAGTCTGGTGACTGTGCTGGCCACTCCATGTTTTCAAGCTTACCATCTTTCCTTAGGTAGTTCTGGCATAGCTTAGGTCATTATCTTTGCTGTAGGATTAACCTCTGAGCAACTAGGTGATACCAGATACCAGAGGGTATTGCATGGCACTGCAGAATGCTGTGGTAGCCGTTTTGGTTCAGGGTGCCTCTCCGACCCTGGATCCAGCAGTAGTCCATTGGCGGTGTTTCATGGCCCAGGCAAGCCTCTTTTTCTTATTCTGACGTCTTAGCAATGGCTTTCTTGTTGCAACTCGATGTCTTCTCTTTACAGTTGAAACTGAGACTTGCTTATTACGAGCACTATTAAGCTGAGCTTGAAGCTGTTGTCCTGTGAGCCACCTATCACACAAGCTGTTGACTCTCAGAAACGTCACCTGATTCTGTTGTGGCTTTGGGTCTGCCAGACCTCTGCCTGTCAGAGTTTGCCCCAGTTTCAATGGTGAAGGAGACTGTACTCACTGCCACCTTGACTTTCTTTGCAATTTCTCTGTAGGAAAGACCTACATTTTTACGTATTATGATGGCCTGTCTCTCTTCCATCGTTAATTGCCTTTTTTTCTCGCCATTTTTATAGCAACACACTACTTTCTGCAGTACAATACTGTTCAAATAACGCTCATGAGGGTATGGTACCACAGTGTGTTCCAACACTACTTTTATGCAGACAGAGGGGGTTGTAAGAAATCAAGACATCTGTGGGAATTGGTAGCACCAACTTTCAAGGCTTGATGCAAGGCTCCATGTTCAGACAGCTTTAAGTTATTTATTTTTGTAGTTTTGGGTAACCTGACCTTTTTTAAACCTCTGGCGTCACTACCTTTGTACAATTTCAGCTGTTCATGACTTGAATGTTGAAAAAACTGGAAAATTTGATTCTAAACTTTTGACCGGTAGTGTGTTAATATACTGCATTTTACTGGTAGATTTACTTGTTCTAAAGTAACGTAACTGCTGTTTTCGGTCCATCAGAAAACATGGAGGCAGACAAACAAAGGAAAAAACAGGAAAACATTTTCTCCATAATAAATGATCCACTTTAACTAAACCAGTGGAATAGTGGTGGTGTGTGTCGTAAAGTTACACATGTCCACGGAGGTCGGCCCCAATGTTACATCATGAAGGAAGTGGTGTTCAGGCACAGAGTGGGAATGACAAGAGGCGACATTCCCCTTCTTACAAGTCATTGTTGTCTTTCATAATCACATTACACCCATGATAAAAGTCTCTATACTAAGTGCCATCTAACAGGAAGCTGAGGTCATAGCAGATTGTGTGTGTGTCGATGAGCCCGGAGT